TGTGTGTGTGTGTGTGTGTGTGTGTGTGTGTGTGTGTGTGTGTGTGTTTACGTGCATACCCATGTGGAGGCCAGAGGTCAGCCCCAGGTGTACCTCTGCAGGCACACCTTGTTTTGGTTGTTTCAACACAGGGCCTGTAACCCACCAAGTAGGTGTGGGTTGCCAGCCAGCAAGCCCCAGGGATCCTGCTCTCTCTTTCTCCCCCATGTTGGTGATGTAAGTACCTACCACCACACATGGCTTTTTTTTTTTTTTTTTTTTTTTTTTTGTAGGTTCTAGGGTCAAACACTGGTCCTCATGGAGGTATGGCACAAATTTTGCTAACTGCACTATCTCCATAGTCCCTCCTACTTTACTTTTTTTGTTCTGATTTCTTTATTGGGCTCTTTGCTGGGATTATGAATGAATGCCACCATACTTGTTAAAGCAACATTTTGCATGAATAAGATTTCTTCATACACTCCCAATTTTTTTAAGAAGAAAAAACTGCTATTATTCTTTAAACCTCTGAATATTATAAAATAAAACCCTATCATTTATGACTTAATTTTCAGAGAACTATGAATCAACATGATCAAGACTTGAGTCTTGCTGTCATATTTTCATGTTTACATTCAGATATTATTAAGGAAATCATCAGTGTTTATATAAAAGGAAAAAAAACAGTGAGAAATTGACTCTTCTTAAAGATAAGTCCCTGTAGATGCAATTCAACTTTCAGAATTCCTTTGATGTGCTGCCTTACCCCATCTTGATTTAATACAAAGGAGTTAGCGAGTTTTTTAGAAGTTTGATTCTCTTCTCCAAACTTTATTCTTCTTGATTCACCTAAGAAGTCTTTCAGACCCACTGGCTATTCAACCATCCTAACTTGTGACTCATAATTCAGGTACATTATTGTTAATTTCAAATTCCAATAGTGGCATAGAGACAAGATTTAAATTTAGCCAAATAACTAAAGTCAGACATCATTCAAATAGAAAATAAAACCTGAAAGGACCTAAGTACCCTTTTGGGTTGCAGAGGATTTTATTCTATTGCCTCTGGGGAAAATGATAGATTTTTCAGAAATTGGGTCTTTGGTAACCACAGTTCAACAAATGCTTGCAAATGTGCATCTGTGAAATAAATCTGCCACAGATGCGGCACCTGGAAATGAGGTCTCAACCTGGAAGCCATTTATTAGCACAATAAATCATATCAGTAATCTATACAGGCACCTACACCTCTTAAAAAAATCGAACAGGTATCTTAAAGACCAGCTCATTTGAAAAGGCGATGAGCAGCTTTGTATGTGGCACATAAGGGGAAGGAAACTCACGCATGCTCTCAGAACTTAATTTCCCTCACATTCGTATCTAAGCTTGGGAAAGGCTTGGCACGGTGCCTCAGTTCATCTCTAAAGGCAGCTCAAGTGTCTAAACTTTAGATTTTAAAAACAGTATTATGCCGCGAATGCCTCTGGAGATCTGATCCCCTCTTAATTACCTGCCTATTCCCAGAGACAAGGTGGGCGTCAATCTCTTGCCTTTATGAATTTCCTGTCCTTGTCTGTAATTATAGTGACAGAAGCTTGCATCTCTGCTGTGCTTCTGAGGAGTGGAGGGATGAGTCCACCATACGGTACAGCTGGGAAGAGGGGGGCCTCTCAAAACTTGCCAGCCCCAGCTAATTGTTAACACTGGTAAAATATCCGTAGCTTTCTCTCAACTAAGTTTAGACTCCATTGTCCTGGTTACATTTTCTCAGTAGAAAATCAGACTACTGACACCCAGAGGGAATAATGATGAGAAAGAAAGAAAAACAAAAACCCTCCAGGTTTCCACACACACACTTCTACTGCCCACTTCCCTGCCCCCAGACTGGTATCCAAAGCATACTGAAGGAGAGATGAGACAAGGCAACTTGGGAAGGGGAGGCTTGAGGAAGTCTCCAAGCAAAGAAGTGTGTAAACAGCTCACAGGTATCAAGACATGGTACTTCTAATGTAACAGTCATACCTCTACCAGATTACATTTTAAAAGTTATAAAATAATTTCTTCCTTAATCTGTCCGTGTTGGGGGCTACACTTATATGTGAAATCATTACATAAAGTACCTAAAATAAGAGTTCCTTCACCAAACTTGTTTATATAGAATTATATGAAATATTATAACTTGATGAAAACAGGGCCCTATATGAAATAAAATAGCATGTATGTTAAAATACAAAATGGAAGTTCTCAAGATAGAGGCTAATTTGAAAATGATATAATTAATTAGCTACTGTAAGAAACTTACTTTTATATAGTATACTTAAAACTAGAAATTACCCACAAGTCTTAGTCAACCCTTATATTATGATGAAAACGTCAAAGAACAAAGGAGAGAAATTCCAAGAGATGTACATCGAACTCCTTTCCACATGGAGTGTCCTTTTAAAACCAAGTTCAGTATATATGGGTGGTATGTTTCTGCCTTATTACTAACTACTACAAGTGAGTAGTAGTTTTTGCTTACTAAGTTGATTTTTCCAGAATTTTCCAAGCAAAAGTTAAGCTGATGAGTGTTTCCAGAGTCACCATCCAGTTCCCTTTGTGAAAGAAGGTTCTAAATATGCCCTTTTCCAGTCTTCATCACCTCATCAGTCCTCCACGGGCTCTCAAAAATGATATCTAGCGGTTCTGTGATGACTTCGGCCAATTCATTAAGTACTCTAGGATGCCGGCCATTGGGACCTGTGGGTTTGAACATATCCGGGTTACTGAGGTTCTGTTTTACCCATTCTTCCCCTAGTCCATCACGGATGCCTGTTCCTGTCTTCAAGCCAACCTTTCTGATTACCATGTAGACTTCTGAGAAACAGCTTTCCATGCCTCTGCTTTTTACACATTAATTTTCTCTTTAAAGCTAGTAAATGAAGAACTCATTGTATTCTTCTCAAGCCTTCAGTTTACTTTTAAATGGTCAATGTTTCTTTTCTTTTTTTTTATGTCACTTGTAAGAAACGAAAAATGAAAGGCTCAAGTCTACCTTGTAAGAGTTGGATTTATCACTCACATTATTCAATAACATATTAGCAACTTTTAAAATCAGAGCCTCAGTCAACATCCTGCCAAGGTTCCAAATATTAACGGCTGTCTGTCTCATGTGCAAAGAGAACTTTTGTATTCAACTTGTAACTGTAGCTTCCAGTGCTAATTCAGAATGCATCTTCCAAAATAAAGAGGATTCACAATCATCTTTAATCATTATCATTTGTATGCATAAACAATGGTTTCTTCTGCAAGGCATTTTCAGAAGCATGAGCTGGAGGGAGACGAAAGGAATTTCTGTGAAAGCAATAGCCTACAGAATGCATTTGCTGTGTGGTCATGGCTGTCTAGGCCCTCAGGTTTACATTACATTAATCATCTCCACATTCTGACAGTTTTAACCCCTTGATTGTCATACTGACTCCTCTGAAACTGAAAGGCAGCCACAGATGATAGTTTTCTGCCCTTCTGTTACACTCCGCCCTGTGCTGAGAATCCCCTGACAGGCTCAGGGTGGACAAAGAAGAGGAGGAAAGGAGAGGTTGAAGGGACAAAGACACTAAGACTTGCCTCTGGCATTTGTGGTTTTTTGGATCCAACTGTTGGTTTGGGGTTTTTGTTTTGTTTGTTGTTATTTATCAGAAAAGGTTCTTTGACAAAAGGTTGAATACGGTTTTTGTTTTGTTTTTTTCCTAGTCTATTTCGCTTCAACCTTATACTGAGGTTTATCCTTTGAAACTTAATAATGCCCCTCAATGTCAAGTCATATTGCAGATTCCATGAAGACTCCTTTAAAGAACAGTTCTGCCCACTTGAGACTTCTCAGAACATGCCTTTCTCACCCTTGCTCTTACAATGGCCACTTATTGACTACAAGATGTAGCTAATACGTCATTATCTGTTAGTCTGGAAGACACCATCAAGCAATCTGAGCTGGGAGGAAGTATTACTGGCCATACTTAATCATTCTCCTTTCTAGAAAGAAAATTATTCATAGTTCTCTGGTTTGGTATTTGGCTCTCACTCTAAGAAAAATCTCCCTAATAATTAATGTATTTAGAAAATCACCTTTAAAAAAATCTAGCCTAATTTAATGTCTGTATTAAAATTATCTTCTGTTACAATCTTTAATTTCTCCCGACAAGCAAAGTTGCTGGGATAGTCTGGAGGTAATTTGGGAGAGTAAGGTAAAGTCCTAAAGAGGAGAGATTATTGAAACACAAAGAAGTTAAAGCTGCTTCATTATTTAATGCTGTGGTAAACAAATAAATAACAGGATATTAGCAAAAACTTATATATATTGTCTTGTACAAGATAGTTAGCTGTTGTTTTCAGGAAGAAGAGCAAGTGTGAGAAGGAGCCTGAAAGTAGGATGCTAGTTGTGAGGAGGAAGGAAGACCTTGGCTGAGAGAGAGAGCAGGTCCACAACATAGCTACACTAGATGAGGCAGAGCTCTGAATGAGGACAGGTAACATGTTCTAGGAACATAGGAAGAAAGTAAATGCCTTTGGACAGTTTGTCAAACTTCAGGGATTGATACCCTCTACATTAAACTCGTCTGGAAACGGGAAGCATGAACTTACCTCAGAAATCTACCACAAGCCTACAGCCTCCAAAAAGCTCCCTTGCATTTGGTTCCACAAAAAAAGCAAATCAAAGTTACGCAACAAGCCCAGTCTTGTAATTTAACATTTTCCATTCTCTAGGCAAGAGGAGGCAGACAAACAGGATTTCCACAATTGGGTCATGGAGAGTTTCAGGCTGGGAGAGCAATAATTAGCAGAGCCTACGTTGCATCATGACAATGATGTTAATATTTTCTCTGTTACAAATGCTCTCAGTTCTCTGATGGCTGATAGACACTGTGATATCCCACAGTCTAGTCCTAACAGGTCCCACTCAAACGGAATGAAAATGAGCAGATTCTGTCAGCAGAATCCTGACAGGCTAAGCAAACAGTTAAGACCTCTTAGGGGCAACCATGCATTCAGCAGTACACTCTCACGCCCTGCTTTTTTTTCCATAATTTATTTTCCTCATGAATTACCTGGCAGTCTCCTACAAGGACAGGTGGGTCTCTCTTCACTTCACCAAGAAAAGTATCAAGATATATTTATAGTCATTTCTGTCTTCTTCCTTTGTTAGTGGGCTTATGCCTCATGAAGTAAGATGAAGATGTGCACCCACGGCAGCTAGAGTGCTCACCTAACACTGAAGAGGCCTGGACTTCAATTCTCAGTACTACCAGAGAGGCTGGGAGAAAAAAATGGGAGGGAGGAGAAATGAAAAGAACAATCATAAAAGCAGTCTTGTATGTGCTTTGTTCTCAAACTTCTTCAAATCCAGCCTTAGAAAGACTGAACACTGCACTGTTTTCAGGACTTAATGTAGCTGGGGTTTTCTTGTTTGTTTGTTTTTTTAACTGCATGTGTTAAAAGATTAAAAGAACGGAATAACACTAAGTGAAATAGCACTCTAAATTGGACACAGAACAATCATAAGTCCATGGCCAGCCTCAGCTACGTAGTGAGTTTGAGATCAGTCCGGCTACAAGAGACCTTGTCTTAGGGAGAGAGAGGGAAAAAAAGAGGGAGGGAGGGAGCGAGGAACAAAGGATGTAAGAATGAATGAATGAATATTAAGTTTTCTGTTGGGCGTGGATTCACATGCCCATGTCCCAGAATCTGGGAAAGAGGAGCAGACTAACTTCTACAAAATGGAGACTGGCCCGATGGACACAGTAAGTTCTGGATGAGCCAGGGCTGCAGAGTAAGCTGGTCCCTCCGAAGAATAAGATAAATCTAAAAATAACCATAACAAGTTTAAAAGCTTGCTTGAATTATCACCTCTAGATCACGAGGCCAGCACTGCTGAAAGATTACATCCATTGGTCCATTTCTCTCTTTCCCCGCTTGGAGAACACTCCTCAGTCTTCCCTCCCAGCCTAGTTCTCGAACTACACTGGTTCTTTCTCAGTTATATCTGTTCTAGACTTTGTGTGTGTGCAGGGGGTAAGAGGGACTCCTTCAAAGATCTGGCAGCTATCCTGTCTGCATCTCTACTGATGCTGGAACCCTAATCTGAGACACAATGGGGGACAGGAAACTGTCCAACCCACAAAAGAACCACTATTTGGTGATTTAAAATAAAGATTTCTGAGATCTTACTTTTCCCAGTTGATTATTCTGATTTTTAGCCAATTTCAAATGTGTTTCTATTTGGAGCTTGTGGTTCTTCCCCTAATTACAGGCAATCAGAGCTTCATGCAAGCTTACCATCCAGGAAGTCAGTCTCTACTTTGATAAAGAAACAACCACAGACACAAATCCAATAGTCACACATTCCCCATATTTAGTTTCTCAAATTAAGAAGAAAATAAGTGGCCTTCCTGAACAATTAATTATCTTTGTGCTTTCCATACACTGAGGGATGGGGGTTGGCAGCTGTCTCCCAGAAAAACTTATTAAGGAAGATGACAGTGTCTCCTGGATGATTAAAAAAAAAAAGACTACCAAACTTGAAATCTAGGTTGTTGGTAACAGATTTTTTCTTTTTAATTTCACGACATACTAAAGCTGAAGTTTTAACATTCAGTCATGCCATGCTGGCTGTTATTGTTGGACTGGGAAAGGCAGGACTTTGCTTAGATTAGGGGTTTTCAACCCGTCAGTCATGACCCCACATGGGTCTCATATCAGACATCCTGCATATCAGATATTACATTACAATTCATAACTTTAGCAAAAGTACAGTTATGAAGTAGCAACAAATAATTTTATGGTCGGGGGTCACCACAACATGAAGAACTGTATTAAAAGGTTGTAGCATTAGAAAGGTTGAGAACCACTGGCTTAGAGAAAGGAGACAAGTACAGTCTGGTTCTAACTATAAAGTTCTTTAAGTACAAAAACCTACATTTTTAGGCTTCCATCTTTCTCCCAAAGGAATGCAGTCTCTATGTTTGTCTGCTGTTATGATTGCTAGAATCATCTGTACATACAATTTCTCATCAAAATAAGTTTCTGTTGGGGAATTTTAATTTAGAAAGTCAGATGGGAATCCACTTTCCTTCGCCTGCACAGAGAAAAGAGGATGGGGTTCACTAAACCAAGGTGGTCTTGATGGTCACTTTGAGTTCTTCCTTAGGCATCCTGCTTGAGGATGCTCGGACTGTCCTCTGGCCCGACAGGAGTTGTGGTGTGACGCTATACAAAGGGCTGGCGTGTACAGCAGCTTCACCTCGTGTCTGTACTAGGTCTGTCTTACACAGCAGACTTCCTCAGACTCTTAGACTACAAGGACAGGGTCCTCCTTAGTAACAAATGCCTAACAGTGAAATGATGAAAAGCTTGTGATGATCATCCAGGTCCTCCATCCTTGTGTGCTGGGAGGCACTGACTTACTGTTCTCTTTCTGGAGCAAATTTAATAGATTAGAGGGAACCGCCTCTCCACGCCTCCTCTGGACACACAGGTTTCTAATCTTCACTCCCTGACTTATCTACAGCTTTTCAGCAAATGCAAAGCATAATAGAGAGGCTGCCTGGGAATTTTCCTACCCACTTATTATTCATAAAACTCCCAGAAACACGTTCAGAGGTTAAAAAGCAAAAACATCTTTGTCTATGCTATCCTCAGGGCATTAACTGATGTGTGATTTTTCTAACCGAATACTTATGTAAATTTCCAACTTTTTCAAAAGC